TGTTCTCGAAAACAGAACTTGACGTTTGATGTACGGAGTAAAAGAAGTCGTTCTATTTCTGAGACTGGAAGGCACAGATCTAGTTGACTACTGATCACGAGATTATCTGGATCGTCTCAACTGGTGGCACATTAGTGAAAACCGAGACAAAATCAATGCTGACAATGAACTTGTTGTGCAACAAGTTACCGTCCCGAATTCACACTAACTCGAACGTACCGCTCATACTGTGTTTAATCATTGATTGCTTAACTGGATCCAAAAACCCTAGTAAACCACTAAGCGAGCTTGTGCCGTATGGAATTGGTCATGGATAGAACAGGCCTAAGCGGGAGGTGCACCTTATGTAACTTGGGCAACTCATAAAGTGGCGGTATCTGCGTGCCCAGGATTTCAAGGATTTCGCAATCGAAGCATTCGTTGTTCCCGTCAGATGTACGATGCTATCGAAACATCGGCGATCAGGGAGGGATGAAGGCAGTTTCCGGTTTTGTCAACAGGTTGTAGTCAGGCCTCATCTACACCTTTAGCGCTTGATAAAGTGCAATTTTGCAAACGATATATATTTTCATTAAAACAGCATCCCATCGTCTCAGAAGCTCGTGCACACATAAAACAACAACACTACCTCATCTCACGCGCAAAGTTTTCGCTTCGCTGAGCTGACAGATTGTATTGACAGCTGGACTGATCTGCCAAAGCAAATGGACGCTTGCTGAAAGTGAATGGAGGTGACACATCTGTGCAGACATGCAATGGCACCTTGGGCAGTAAAGGAACAAAACAAAATCTCGGGACGTACGACGCCACGCGTCAATCTATACGCGGACATTAGTGTAGGGGTTCTCCAAGGTTCCAAATAAGCTCTCGTGTGCAGTGTGTATATTCCCAGTAGCAAATGGCCATTCATGATGTTTGCGGCCCCAAAGTTGAAGGAGATGTAGAAGTGCGGTAGCCAGGATTTCCATCACTTGTCATGCGTAATTCAGAGAAAAGACTCTCATGGCCTCGTAGATAACAACATGTTTTGTCTGAAAGAGTTCTGAAAAGAAATAAGTAGCCCCAGCACCCCTTTCGAAGATGAGTGTCAACGAGGACAAATGGTCCCGGCTGTTAACCAACGACAGCCGTGCTTTTCATACATATACCGTGATTAAACACATGGTCACTGCATCGCAAATCTGGGCAGAGGCCAGTCGATTTTTTACTGCTTCCACTGCCGGGTGGTAGTGTGTTTTGTAAGTTTGAACGCCGTACCATTATGACTAATGTCTCAGTGAATTTCGCACATCTTTTGACGTTCGTATAGGATAGAGATGCAAATCAATAAGCAACGTGTCTGCAGAGATGCGTTTCCGACACTATATTTTCGACGGAAATGACGGAGGAGTTAAACAGCTGGCGTGTCACCGACGCTTTTCAGCAGTGATGGATTGAAACGGTGCTGCGCATGCGCTTTTTCGTTTCAGTGGTGCTAATCCGCACCGGAGCTAACCAAACGTAACAGGCTTAATGCCTGTTGAGAAGGCTGCAATACAACAAGCCTAATGAAATGCTTCCCGAAATACCCATTGTTCAACCAGGCAAGTTTAAAAGTGTGTCAGTTGTCCGTTTTTCGTAGATGTTGCTTAGCCTAATCAAGCTACTTTGGCTCGTGCTTTATTTCAGGCGGAACATCAAATGCTTGTTCCTGTTGGTGCCAACTCTACCTAGCTCACGAGTAACCATCATCTGCCAACACTCACACTCAGTTGAGATGACAGTAACGAGATGGTGCTTCGGTCGACAAGTAAGTGAGCTTGAAAAGGAACACTTCAATTAGGCCAGGACGGTGGAAACTAAGTAGGGGCGCGCTGGATCATACTCGAATCCGTGAATCCGTCCCCAGGGAATACAGAATCTCCGGCGTTAACTATTGATAAGGCTGGAGCATAAGACAGACAGGTAGTTTACGTAGAGACGACGGAGCAGTTTAACTCGCAAGTGCAAAACAAACTCCAGACACGTGTGCGTTTGAATTGATTCGACGTCAACGAATCGATCGCTTCTAATTAATTGAGTGACTATCGTTATTCTTCGCACTATCGATTTGCAGATCAATCATCAATTCCACGCTTGCCGCGTTCCTTCTCAATTAGACTCACTGCTGCATTGGGATACATCGATCGTTCTATCGCTACACCACTTGACAAGACGAAGAGCCGACCTCATGTTATATGTCTCCCGGTCCATCCCTCCAGTACTCATTATCATATTATGAATATGCTAAGTAGCATTGTGGTACATTTTGGCGTCCGCATTCGTTGACGTCATTCTCTTATCTTTTATATTGCGGTACATTAATTGAAGTGTGTTTATCAACATCTTAGAAGCCGTTAATGACGATGATACTGTCCGTTCGGTATGTAGCGAACTTGTAACGACGTCAGATGCAGTGGCGTGGCGCTCGCTGTGATCTTCCCTGGCGGACTGTATGGATTTCTATAGTAGTTAGACTACAACACAGTATTCGATCCCGACAACTATATATGTGAACAGCAGGAGCTGGAATTGGTATAGGCGTAGAGAAGAACACGAAGGGGGTCCGATCCTCAAACACAAACCAGAAACTAAGATGAAATTTCGAGTAGGATATACACTTTCGCAGCCGTATACCGGAGCTCAGGTGAACAGAAAACTTTCAGCTGTTCTACTAGGAAACAACTGACATCGACTCAGTGTCAAGAGGGATAAGAAGAATATAACCACTGGCACTTGTTCCCGAGTCGAGAAATGGAAGATTTGTTTCAAACAGTGCCACGACACAGTGAAAGCAGAAATTGCTTGCTAACACATTTGATTTGAAGAATACCGCAGGCACACTGTCAACACAGATCCCATAGTCGACTGACAGCCTCTCGCTGATTACTCGGGAACAAAGACATCCTTGTTAAACGAACTGTTAGCTGGCATGGGTGATTTTCCTGTAAACGTTTAGCCAATAGTTGAAGTGCGTTAGTACATGGCAAGGCAAAACGACTCGTAAACCGATGTGAAACGTGTGATCGAGCGCGTGAGCATTACAGGTCCCTGTCACTGGTCGTTTTGGCAAGTGACCATTGAAAATAGCCTCTTCGACGCAAGCACAGCGAACAATTCTGCTAACAAGTGAATATCTTGAACTACCTACGCTTGCTTCTACATCAAGCGCACATCGAGAGCATAAAGCCTATAAAGCAGAGATACGCGTTGATCACATTTGGGAAGAAACGTTGTCATCCAGATGTCTATTCTGAGGCAAATGCTGCATTCTGCAACTCTTAATTGTAGCCTCTGTTTTAGTAGTTTATGCCACTATGTGGCCGGGCAAGTGGTATCGGCTACCGGACACCATCGTCAACAAAGGTAACCACAAATGAATAAAGTATCTGGGCAAATCTAAGTAATCCGTCTGCCCATTTTGGTAAACGGCTGTCAAAAAATGCGCTTTTACGCGACACAACAGGAACACCGGTACATTCACGGATATGACCTATTTCTCTGCAAACCAGAAACCGGCCAAATGAAAAAAGCGCTTGATGAATCGAACGGAGTAAACAGATTACTTATGAATGGAAGGATTTTGGTGAGTATTTTATTCGTCGCAATCAGCCGACCACTCCGATATGTCGACCAGCTGTCCGGAAAAGCACCAGACGGCCGTTTCGCCCTATTGGGGCTCATCAGTGGTGCGCATCCTTCGGTCCTCTGCGGAGGTTCGATCCTCCGCACGGTTCATCGCAAGGCCACTTGGAGCGGGCAGTACCTCCACTTTTCCAGCTTTGCCCCGGTCGCATAGAAACGTGGCCTAGTGAAAACGCTTTTCTACAGAGCAAGACGGATATGCAGCCCCGAAATGTTGCAAGCTGAAGAAGACTTTTTGTTCAAAACCTTGGTGTCAAATGGGTATCCTGAGAAGTTCATTCAGATGCACAGCAGGCCTCCCAAGGAGAAAATACCAGTGTTAACCGCGGAGAAAAAGAATGTTTACTTGTTCTTGCCGTTCAAAGGAGACCATGTATCGAATGATATCGGACATAAACTCCGGTCCGCCCTTACGCGCACCTACGCGACCGCTCAGTTGCGACTCATACATACAACACGAAGCCTTGTTCTTCATGACCGTCAGAGCAACTCATCAGTCAGTTCGGCCTCTCACGTCGTTTACCAGTTCACTTGCGGTTGCGGTGACATTTGCATAGGCAGGACTGACCGTCAGTTAGCTCAGAGGGTAGCTGAACATGTACCGAGGTGGTTGGAGCAACTGATGACGCAACAAGACGGAGTGAATCCGAGGAGGAACAGGAGTCCCGCATCATCTATCACCAAGCATCTCTTGGCAACCCGACATCAGGTGAACCCGGATACTGCGTTCAAGGTGTTATTGCGCAACAACAATCCGATTATCTTGGCAATTAGCGAGGCTTTGCTAATTAGGGCTTATCAACCTGTGTTGTGTGCACAGAAACTATTGAGACATTCAATTAGGTTACCGTGGTCTTGATTTTTACATTTTGATTGGTGTGTCAACTTTTTCCCCCTGTATATAACTGTTCATTAGTCCCGCTTGTATTGTGTTTGCGACTGAAGAGAACAATCGAAATGTTAACATATCGCAACTTATGTCTTCTCACTGCTCTGACGAAATGGCTGAAGGGGACCCACTGTTTTACCAGCATCGAGTGTCTGATAGACTTGTGGGTCTCTTGCAAGCAAATTCATGTAATCGCATCACATAAATCGAGAGGACCCTGATGGAGATGACCCTCATCAGGTGTGGTGTGGAACGATGTATTGATGCCTCGTACCGCACTTGAAGCAGTAAGTGATCTCTGTATCTATAACTAATGAACCTATTTGTGTGAAAAAAACGAAGCCGTGATAGCTCGTACCGACACCGATGTCTGCTAAAAAGTGAACATTCAATTCAATCTGACTGAGAGAACATATTAACGCCATGCTTAATGACAAAATTCACTTACTCGGATTGGACACTTGGTGAAGTGAGAGCCGATGATGATGGATGACCTTCAGCGCCAAAAACTTCACCAGCCGGTTCGGTTTGGTCACTGGGGGAGGGGTACAATAAAGCACCAAGTACAGTACCATATAGGTTTAATTGACGCGAATACGGCAAAACAAATTCACAAACATGGCAAAATATAAGGAAAGCGAGCCTCATGTGATGAACTTGAGATCGACAACCATAGCGCAGTGCAGCACAAGGCACAAAACAAAGTCGCGCCCCACAATATTCGCGAGTAACCCACCAACCAACTGCGCCCACTCGTTTGAGATGGTGTCCAAAGAAATGGGACGCCATATAGCAGACGGTGATAGAGACGGGTGTCTAGACAAACTTTACCACTGAAAGACGTATTCGCTAAACGGGGTGCGCGGTATACGCGTGGTGAAGTAACACGGATCGGAAGTTTCTCACAAGACTTAAGACGCTTAAAGAATGGGATAAAATAGTTGGCACCCTTAAATGGTCCGCTCTGGATGAATACGATTCCAAGTTGGTTCCTGATGATTAATCAAGCCTTTGGATTAACGACTGCATTCGCAATAAAGCATCTTTTTATGCGACTTACAGTGGATTTACCAGTTTTAGAAAATGTCTTTGACTTTGTCATCGCTTAGAGGATCTCCAAAATCACTTATGCTGTCCTACATCGATTCTTAAAAAAGATCGAGTTACTGCGCGTAGTAAGTGATTTGTAAGCACCAGTCATTAAATCCTAAACACATTGAAACGAATTAGTAAAAGGTTTGGGTATCGTGAAGAAACACCGTCCCAATGGGTGGTGGCCTCATACATTGCCCCGTAAACAGGATGCAAATGCCGATTATTCTCTGTAGAAATGCACAAGCCTTGCATCGTTTATTCTAATGACACCTGAGCACCGAGTGACTCGTTACATGCATACAACTTTGCGTTCCTGCACCATTAGTCAATCTCAAGTACATACGGTAAAATGCGGAAAATTCATCCACCGGCCACATAAAGCGCATTCTGATGTGACTTGCTTGCACTTTCGGAAAGGGCAAAGCTACCGATGTACTCCGAAAGTCGGGGGCACGGTGTTTGTTGCAGCGGCCTGAACGCGTGAACGCGCTAGAAGTAGCTGCACAGGCACACTGGCACTACTACCTAGAAATACGCTAGACGGCTAGGTCGAACCTGTAGGGTATTGTTGGCTTCTCAATGCTTAGGGCGCAGTTAGACAACCATGATCGATCTGTAGTATGTGTGCTCAATTCGCATTACATTAGACAAACTAATAAACCGAATTGGTCGGATTCGCTGACATAGCCGCATCGAGCTATCTATCAGTTGACTCAGGTCTCAAAGTAGACGGACGGAGATGGACGTTCGCAGAGATCATAAGGTTACGATATCCTGTACCACCACGAATTCACCCTGGAGATGACTTGGTAGACTCAAGTTACCCAAACGGAAAGCGACACCTAGGATGGTGGCCTAGGACCAATGCAACTTCCAATTAACGCATGGCGTTTGAAACACAACTGATGAATTGGTGTGCATAAATGCTCTCTTGCTTGTCTACTTGACCCAAGCGACTAATAACAGGCCATAGCCGGACAGTTAACGGTACAGAGAATCGATGGGGAACAAACGCTGAGTAATGAAAATATGTGTAATGAGACCCAAATTGGAAGCCGCAGCCCAGTATGTGCCTTGGGTACGACTCTGAGCTGTAGAATTACAGCCGGACCACATTACAACGCACCGGATGGCGGCACAAGCGAGGTGTGGTAGTGACACAGAGCATCACCGAACAGACGGCAGTATGCGCCTGTGTGGCTTCATGGCGTAGTGACATGGACATTTCCCTGCCTGTCCGGGCAAGGTGTGTAAAACAGTATAATAATATAAAATTATTTTGTATCTAGACAACGTAGGGAACTTGCCGGGTTGAGCGACGACTACGTGTGTTTGAATCAACAAGAATCGCATTTCGCGCGTTTCCGGCTTCCCCGCCTCGAAGAGCGTTCGCTGCGTCATCGCTGCCGATATACCATTCCCCTAGCTAGAACATTCTTACGGTGCATTTAGCTAGCGGAAGTGTGCGTTTCGTCAATAAACGTCTATCACGCCCCTATATTCGACATTTTCCGATTTCTCCTTGAGACAGGGCGAAGGTGTGTCTATAGCGACCGAACAATTCCATTATAATGACAATGAGTCATCAGTCTGAGGCGGAGTGGTTGCTGTCGACACCGTATTATGGACACGTGCGAACTCAATAGCAGTTTATATTGACCTCCATAACTGGGACTAAGACATGACCGGTAAGGTTTTGTTGGCACTGCTCAATCACATAAGCGATGGCAGCGACTCGGTTGTCGCGCGAGTCGATGAACATATCTCGGTAGGATATATGTCAACCCGATTCAAGCCAGCGACACTGGCTAATAGGTCTCACTGACGAGCGATTTATCTGCAATGCATCACGTAATTGTATGTGATATAGTGAGCTCGGCTAAGGAAGATGGCCATTATCAGAATCATGTCGAATGTCACACTGGTGGGCACAACGTCCAACGAGGCACTTGACATTGGGTTTCGGTCTCCCAAGCTCGTGAGATAACGAGGACGTTACTAGTGTTTACGCCAAGGACAGCATGGTCACTACCCTACAACGGAATCCACCGTCAAAGCAATCAGGATAAGCCAACACACTTCAACGACGTTTCGTTGCCACCTGACCACCAGCTGAGAATACCGTGAAGAGGCCCGCTCCAAGGTGCATTCGAACCGGTGACCTAAGAGTTGCAAGCCAAGCGTACAATCCGTTCAGCTACCGACCTGTATCCACGGTGATGACTTGGCTACGTGGCCAACACTCGGGGAAGTGATGCGAAATATCATGTGACGAGGACGTTTGTAATAATGACGAATCGCTCGGCCCAGATCGTCGACCATGTGATGGAGAGCAAGAAGGCTCGGAAAATCCCTGTCTGTCATAAGAACTAATGAAAGTTGGAGCGGTCCACGTCACAAAGTTGTCGCAATCGAAGTGATTTCCGTCTGGCGGCAAAGTGATCTTTGCATCACTATGGGGTGAATTCGATGCAACGTCGCATGGATAAACTATTTTGTGTATGCATGTGATTCGACCGCAAAACGCCTACCCTAGGATGTCTGGACAAACGCATACATCGCCGACCTCACAGTTCACAGGATCGAAGGAAGCAAAACCGATATCGAAAGATCAACAAAAACGTACTCAGCAGTTGTAGTCTTTCCTTTACCCTTTTTTCTTCTGGATCTTCCGGTTTTCGCAGGACTGTCGCCACTGGAATGAATCAGAAAGCAGGAGATTCGTTAGTGATTACCGCTTGAGATGGTGTGGGCAAGATTATCAATGTTGACGGACCTTTTGCGGAAATGGGAAAAAACAACTAAAGAGAAAATGAACGATCAACTGACCCTGACTAAGGAACAAATGGCTCACTATCAGTGATCCAAGAGTAGAGCCCAAGCTGAAACGGCCCGCAAAAGGAAATTTTTTTCAGATTGCTACAATAGCAATATGTTTCTCAAATAAAAATGGAAAGCATTCTGTCCTATAGCGCCTAACTCGGTGACCAACAGAAAGAAAAAAGCCGAGTATAATGACTGGCCCCATATTAATAACCAGTAGAGTCAACCACGCATTGTTTTGTAAGCGTTAACAATGGGAGCTACTGTAGTGGATTCTTCCTTCATTGGTGGGGAAGTAAGAGGCGGTGCTACCGCAGCAGAACGAAGATGACCTGTGTCGAGTTCTTAGTTGACATCAACCATGCAAGGGGGTAAATTGGTAGGGTTTCGTAGCAGTAGCTCCCAAATCATATGGTCCTGCACATGCCCGAAAAAGCCCTAGACAGCCGTTTCGTACTGTTTGGTCTCGTCAGTGGTGTGCATCCCTCATGATCGGAACCGATGACCAGTAGCGACTTGCACTGCCAGTCAGCAGCTAATGTCACTGGGACATGGAAAACAGTGGCGGACTGTCATAATCTTCAGGCTAGCTACGATATATCAACAATCCCACTTTCCACCGCTACACAGGTGCAAAGGTTGCCAAAAAGAAGGTTATAGGCCCTGAGATGTGTCGAAAAGAAATTTCATCGCATTGGCCCTTTTGATGTTTCGCCGTCCGCGTTCATAGGAAACACTGGATTTCTGATCGTTATGGGTATTGACAGTTGTGTCCAAAGTCAAAACACACAAATACACACACAGACAATAGATGAAAGACGATGAGGTGACGGAGGGACAGCTGGGTAACTGTTTTTGATGGCGGTGGATAGCACTCACGATCAAACCAACCACTAACACGTTTATCCACATTATGGTGCCATTACCCAAATGACGAATGAAACAACTGGTTGGAACTCGAGCGAGTAACTGCTACACACATAACTTCAATACAACAGCGTGATGAGAGCAAATTGCCGGACAAATAAGGTTTGTCTCTATGGATTAGAAAAAAACTTTATGCGCATTGTTGGTCGCATCAGAGCTAAGACATCGAAGTAGGTCGATAAGCAACCCGATACACACCACCTAGAAACTATCCAATCGGAACACACAAAGAAAATGTGATACCAAAACGGTACAGATTAGCATGAGGAACAACACATCTGATTGAAAAACAGCTATGAAACAACAATACGTTAACTAAGAAAGTATTTGGAACCGATGAAGCAACCCTGCAGTTCAATATTGCCAGAAATAAAGGATACCGACAATGTGCCAGTACTATATGATGGTGCTTCGTTGACTCTAAACTTCGGCCGGTCATACGCGGGCTGGTGACCTAGGGGCATCCAAAATCATGCATGAGTGGGGACTCGAACACGGGGCTCAGAGACTGCAAAGCATACAATCGAACTACACAAAGCAGAAGGTGCGGTGCATAAACCTCATATCAAGGTAAAAAGAAAAAGTGGTGACGTACGTGCTCGATATGGTAAGTTCACTAAGCTGTTCTGATATCGTCGGAGAGACTTCGACTGGAGGTTGATCACGAGGAGAGACAGGGGGTGGCCTGCAGAATGGAAGTGAACAATCTGTGGTAAGTGGCAACGTCAGAATCATGGTTCATGAAGAGTGGGAAAATGCGCGGTGCTGCACAGAGCTAACTGGTGACGTTTTACGTACAAATATCGTTTGACAAATGTGAACACGATGCTCTTAAATTTTGGTAATCAAATTAGTTCAAGTAGGAGCATCACTATCAGCCAAATCAAGGAACACCATTCAAAGGCTTGTGGTAAAGTGGTCGCTGCAACAGACTGGACAAGTGATACCGACACACGGTAACCACTGCCTCCGTGGGCTGAATGGAAATTGGACATAACAACATTCAACAACAACGGAAGCAGCCATCTAGGAAACTACACTTTTACGGTATTCAGACTCCTGTGAGGTGGAAGAAATATACCCAAAAAAGGAAAACCATCGTTACTGTGGAGGTGGAGGACTTGGAAAAGGTAAAAAAAACTGTTGGCAGAGTACACTAATGATGATCGGAAGCAAAGTAATGCAGCTCACTAGAAAACAATGAAGCTTGTCTGATTCCGCCGGTATGGAGAGTGATCGGTGGTTCTGCGCAATGTAAATCATCGCACAACTACCAGTTGTAGAGCGGAAAAAGATGCAATACCCCAGTTTCCCATGGAATACTTCTATTTATGCTACTAACTCGACCGCAAACTGCCGCTTTGAATGATCCGTATCCGAAGTGACTACTGTCCCAGTGATCGGAATGGCAGAGGCTGACTTTAAAGTCAACCGAGGCCAAATTTACTCAACAGCCATATTTGCTGGAACAAACGATAGTAAATGATTTTTTTTGCAAAGCTAGATCTATCGGGAGCAGGAAACTGGTCCAACAGACTGGAGCCGCTCCGTCAGTCCCAATTTTTAAGCAATGCTTCCGTTCGGAATGCCGCAACCACAGAGGAAGCAGTCTGATTTTAATTGTCCCTAAACTGCTTACGCCTGTCATTCTTCACAGACTGACTAGCACTCGTGAAAGCCAAATCCACGAAAAACAAGCCGGGTATCGTCGAATCGAGGCTGCATCGACCACATCTTCACTTTGCGTCGATTGCTGAAGCGCCGCCATCTTTATTAGCGACCAGCCATAGTCGTGTTTCGCGACATCAAAGATGCCTTCGATTCGGTGGATCGATGTGCCCTTTGGGACTGTCTGCTGAGAAAATGTATGAGCAATAAATATGTAAACATGATCAAAGGGATGTAGGCGCATAGTTCGGGCAGACTGAGAGTTGATACAGAACTGTCGCCGCCCTTCAATATCTCCGGCGGTGTAAGACATGGATGCCCGTTGTCACCTTTCCTATTTAAGTTCGCTAATGATGAACTCATGGAAACAGCGTTCGCTGGACACGAGCAACAAGGTGTGGAGGTAGTTGCTGGTGAGAGAGTACTTGATTTGTAAGATATTGACCTAATCGGTGACAGCTTCCAAAAGTACCAAGCAGCACTGGACCGATTAGCACTGGCTGTCAATCGTTTTGAGCTATGCTTTGTGCTATCGAAATGTAAAGTCTCTCTCCAAAATTGGCAGGAACCCACCCCTGGGCTGACCAGCTAGAAGTCGTTCAGGAATTCATTCATTTGGGCAGCTCTATATTAGCGCCCGTGGGATCGAAGATGACATTACGAAACGCCTAGCAAAGGCTCGAGGTGCTTTTGCCAACCTCCAGCACCTGTGACGCAGACGCGTTAGTACTCTCGCTCGGAAGGGCAGAGTCTAGAATGCAGCCGTACGTTCAATCCTCTTATACGGTTGTGAAACTTGGTCCATCAAATCAGCAGACATAAAGAGGCTAGTCACGATCGACCATCGCTGCCTTCACAGCTTAACTCATGTCCGGTGGGAACACCAGGTGAGTAATGAGCGTGTTCGGCGTCGCGTATTTAGTGCAGGAAGAGCGAGTGAACCGCCCAGCACCATTAGATCAAGCATAAGTACCCGATAGCTAGGCCACGTGTTGCACATGCCAGCACACCGACTCGCGCGACGTGCATTGATTGCGCGTCGGGAGTGCGGTTAAAAGAGGGGGAGGGGAGGCCAACCAATAACGGTCGAGAGAAATGAAAACTCTCACTTCGAATTTGGCGTCGGTTGGTGCATGCCGACTGCGTGGCTGGGGTCCTAAGGACAATGAATACGTTTGGTTGGACACACTTGCTGATATGGCGAAGAGCCGGCCCCAGTGACGTTTGTGTTGTGAGTTTCTTTGTCCATCCCCCTCCATTGTAGATGCCCCCTCCAATTCTTATCTCATGCGAATTACATAATATAATATTTAACATTATATCGCCTGCTTTTGAAATTTTTTGTAGTGTAACTTTATGTATTGCGGCACAATGGACAAAGTGTGTTTCTCACCCTCAAGTAGCATGTATTGATGATGATGACTAGCAAATTGATTGATTTAACCTCTAGATAGTTACCTGAAAGAAACACGCACAGAGGTCTGTAGCAATATCATCAGCTTCCATTCGGTGTTAAAACCGCATCAGTCATATTTCAACAAATTATGGACTCCATGTTAACTGATATCGATGGCGCTCTTGCATGTTTGGATGACATCAATACCGTCGAAATGAACGTAGTTGACCTCAAAAAGCTGGATGGAGCCTTTGGTTGTATGCAGGAGTATGGTATTAGGCTTTATCCTGATACATAGCAAACTTTGATGGACATAATCACGTTCTTCGGTTTCATTACTGAAGAAAATGGTGGACATCCTGATGCGGCGAACATAGGAAGATAAAACTTGGGTCTCATCAGGCATTACAGTCAAATTATACCGCGGATGCACCGCGCGCGTGATCCACTCAACGAGTTTCTTGGCAAAGACACGTTGGTATTGGTGTGAATAATTCCAGAAATCATTTGAGGAGGTAAAAAAGGATGTTACGTGCTGAATTTTTGTCAACACACTAGGAACCCACTCAGGAAACTGTGTTAGCCGCAAACGATTCGAATTAAGGTGTTGGCGCAGTTGTCCCTCCCAAGTTCGCAGATGGCTCAGAGAAAGCAATTGCACACACAGCCAACCTAAGCTGCAATGGCCGTGATGATCGAACGAGAGTAGCCTCTTTATGTCTGTCGAATTGATGGACCAGGTTTCGAAACCATACAGTAGGGTGCATTGTAGGCTGCATTGTAAACTCTGCCCTTACGAGCGAGAGTGATATCGCGCCAGCGCCACAGGTGGTGGAGATTAGCAAAAGTACCCCGAGCTATTGCTATACGGTTGGTGATCTCATCATCCGTACCATTGGCGCTGATATAGCTGCCTAAATACTTGAATTTTCGGAGGCCCCTAGCTGATCCCCACCAAGGGTCAGCGCAGTAGGCGGTCCTTAACAACCTTGGAGAAGGACTTTGTATTTCGAGGGTGCAAAGCGTAGCCCAAAACGATTGACAGCCAGGGCTAATTCGTCTAACGCCACTTGGTACGTTTGAAAGCTGTCATAGATAAGGGCTATGTTGTCTGCACACTCCAAATCAAGAAACGGATCCACGCCTTGCAGGTCGTGCCCAGTGAACGCAGTTTCCATGAGTTCGTCAATAGCGAAGTCAAATAGCGGACATCCTTCTCACAGATCGCTGAAGATAGTGAATGGCGGAGACAGCTTGCCGCAAGCCTTCACTCTGCCCGAACTATGCGAGTGCAGCGCACTTATGACATTTGCTTATTTCTCGGACACACCTTTTCTCAGTGGGCACATCGATCAACCGAATAGATGGCATTTTTGATGTCGAGGAAAACGACTGCGGTGGCTCGCCGATAAATATGGCGGTGTTGCAACAATTGACGTGGTGGGAAAAAGTGATCAATACCGCAGTGACTTCGACGAAAGCCGGCTCGCTCCTCGCAAATCTGACTTTCACGTGTGCCAGGAAGTCTATGAACGATAGAGGCATCTTAGAGGCAAATGAGATCAGAATGATCCCCTATGATTGCCGTATTCAGAAGGTGATCCCCTTGAAAATTGGGACTATTACCGAGCGGTCCAGTCTAATGGGGTAGTTTCCTGCCCCCACAGCTTCCCAAATAAGTTGTGTGGATCATCTACAAGAGCAGGTCCCTCGAATTTGAAGAGAGGTGGATGGATTCTATCCGCTCCAGCGGCTTTAGTTGCTCTCATCAGTGTGATTTCAAGTTCGACTTCTGAGTGTGAAGGCGGGTCCACGAGGATGGCTCAGGGAGAAGAACGATCGATGGTCGAAGAAGTTAGTGATTCCGGACGATAAAGTTGTTTTTCAAAGTGTTCAACTCAACGCTCCAAGCGTTTTGACAAACTGGATAGGCCGTCCACCCCCACTATATATGGAGTCGCTAACACCAGGTCTCCTGCTGCTTGTTCCGCGTAGCAACGGAATAAGTCCTGATGATTACTAAGAGCAGCGGTCATTTCCATCTCCTATGCACGATGAGACCACTAGGCCTCTGGGTCTTTCCTCAGACTAGCACACAGTCTCGCCCTGAGGTATTTGCAAGTCTCTGTGTGTCCGCTCCCAGCCGGGACCCTGCTAGAGAACTCTAGGAAAATTTAATCGAAGTCATCGTAGTTTTGACGGAAGGAAAAAAGAAGGTTTGCTTATCGGCCAGACACCGACACGGAACTCAAACAGCTGGTGAAAACATTTACAAAGTGTGCAGTCACATCGTAAAACAGTAGAATGTAATTGACCCAAAGCAACAAAGTCACTAGAACGTATAGATGTCGATATTTTAGTCATGTGAATGGACAGCAATTCGCAATCGTTCCGCATGTAGCATGCAATTATCAAAGTACTGAGAAGTCTTTTCAGCCGGGGAATAATAAAACAATAATATGGCGGCAGTACGCCGTAACGGCGCTTCGCGCGCGGGCTGAGTATACCGCGAGGACGCCCACCCCTACGCGGATTGGAACCGGCGACCTTATGGTTGCAAACCAAACGTGCAGACCACCCGGCCCCGGCCTTTCAGCCGGGGACTCAGGTCATGTAATTTA